AAAATTAACTAATTAGCATGGTGGTTGTAACGCTTACTTTTTACCACTTCTGAATAAAACATCTTTGTCAGACTTAATTCACAGTGTGTATTTAGAACATATTGATGAAATTATATGCTGAGTTTTATAGTTTTTACTTGAAGTTTTACAAGCAACTTTATTTTATTTCTGTCATGACTATAATAACCATGATGATCATAACTAAAAATCCAATGCTTAAAAATAATAAATAAAACAATCAATGATGTAAGAAAGAAAGTATAAATGATTATTAACAACCATGTATATTATGTCAATCAATGATGTAAGAAAGATAGTATAAATGATTATTAACAACCATGTATATTATGTTCAAAAAATGTACTATAGCATTATCAAAGTTCTCAATTACGGATATACAATACAATTCTTAACATTACATAACTCAAGGCTTCCCAGGAAAGGCATGCGGTTTTTCCTTTCGTATGACCACGAAAACGTTTTTCATGTTAGAGAACGTGATCACAGCCGTTTGCAGTTTTATTATATGCGTTGCTGAAAAATTGTTTTAAATTTCATTACTACTTAAGAAATTAAAGTGACTTAAATAGAAAACAATAATAATAGTTTAAATAATTTGTGTGTTGTTGTTTTTGTTTTTTTCTTAGTGGTTATTATTATTGGCGAAAAAATTTATTAAGTCAAAGCAAAAAAAAAAAAAAAAAAAACGGTTTTAGGCATTAAAAAGGATGGCTTTCCCATATTTTATGTGTTTTTCTTTTAAAGAGGAAAGAGAAAATATGTATCATAATGTAACAAGTTTATATGAAGAGTTAAATTATAGGATCGCGATTAGTAATCTCTGGTAAAATATTAGATCTTTAAAATTTTAGTTCATGCGAAGCTGTGTTATTTGTTTATAAGGAGCAAATTATTAAAAGTTTGCTAGCGAGAAAGTTACAAAAAACAAAACAAAAACAATAAACTTACGACAACAAAAGTAATAACACTTTAGTCACTAACTGCATTATAAAAGTAATAAAACTATAATAGTGTTATTACTTTTATAAAACACTTATTACTTTTAAAGTTCATTCTTTGTTTAAACAACATTATTAATTCCAAACATTTATTAAAGTAGAAAAGCATCTAGAAAAAATAAAACGGATATTCAAATATTATTAAAAATTTCAGGAACTTTTACATATCACTTAAAAAACGTTATAAAAAAGTACTTTATAAAAAGTATAGCATTATGAAAAACTACGTAAAAATGCGCGTTAATTTTAAAATCAACCAATCAAAAATTTAAAAATTAACGCGCGTTTTTACAGTCCATTGGTAACATCTTTCATAATGCTAAGCTTTTAATACAATACATTTTCATAAAGTTGTTTGTCACGTTTTTATAAGTTACTTTAGTTTTAATATTATTTGAACATCTACTTTATTCTTTTAGATATTTTTCTACTTCAATTAAAAATTGGGAATATTAATGTTGCTTGAACAAAGAATGAATTTTAAAAGTTATAAGTGCGTTATAAAAATAATAACACTATTATAGTGTTATTACTTTTGTAATGCAGTTAGTGACTAGAGTGTTATTACTTTTGTAATCGTAAGTTTATTGTTTTATTTTTTCGCTAACAAATTTATGTTGATTCTCCCATTAGAAACAAGGAACATGATTTTGAATAAACTGAAATTTTGAATACTAGATATTTTTTTAGATTTTGCGCTTTGCATTCGCTTAATTCAATCTTTGTTGTTACATTAAAATTATAGAAATAAATTTTACAAACACATTGCAATTTGTATTTTTGCTATCCACTTCAAAAAATTAAGAAAAGGAAAATCATTCTTTTTATTGTATACTTCAAACTGTTTGTTTTTTGCTTTGCCTTATCTAATTTTTGTTGCTGAATGTAACTCTAAAGAAACAAAAACAAAAACAGTACTCAAATAATTTAAACTATTGTTTTTTTTTTCCTATTTTAATCTCTTTTTATTTTGTTAGTTTTGTTTTTTTTGTTTTTGAAACTTTTTCAGCATTATTAGGCCGGGTGAATAAAAACGAGCAATTGCTTTTACTCAATAATTGGTCAGCTTTACGTGAATAAAAGCCTTAGCAGTTTTCCTCTTATTTTGATTCACGTAAAGTTGAGCAATTTACTCAGTAATTGTTCAGCTTTACATGAATAAAAACTTAACCAAAATAAATAAATTCACACAAAGCTGACCAATTACTGAGTATAAGCAATTGTTTACTTTTATTCACCCAGCCTATTATAAATTTTGCAAACGGCCAAGTTCACGTTTTCTAAAATAGTGTAATGGCGTGTGGTCATACGAGAAAAAAAACCGCACACCTTTCCTGGGAAGGCTTGATAACTGACTGTAATTGTAAATAAGTGTAAATTATTGTCAAAACACATTTATACAACCTTTACAACATTAAAACCATGCTATGGTATGAGAAAATGATTTTTTTTTTTAACCTTTTTTGCTTAAAAGTATTTACAAATAGGAAAAAAAAGAGTTTTTGCTTTATTTGTTTTTTGTTTTATGTAGTAATTTGTAGATGTTTATATATTTTTTATATATTCAAATTGCAATACTTAAATAAGATGGAACATTGCATTAAATGATCAACTGGTCAATTTAAGACTATGCTGTTCAAGAAAAATATGTTATAAAAATAGTTTGTTTATTATGTTGATAACATGCATTGCATGTTATTTAACAAGTATAACACTAATGCTTTAATTCCAAATGAATTTAATTTTTAGTTTTTGTTTATGTGTTACATAATGCGTCTATAGATAAGTATATAATAATGCAAAAGATAAAAATTTCATTTCTAACTTTTCAAATTTTTCAAACCCAAGGTTTTGGGTAAAAAAAGTTTGACAAGTTATTCTGATTGACTAAAAAACATTTTCAATTAAATTTGTGATCCCAAATGATTAATTACCTAATTAGAAATCTAAAGAGTCATTATTGCTAAAATACTTATAATTTTAAAAATTTACAAAGATCATTAGTTTTGCTTTATTTTACTCGAAAATCTTGCACAACAATATTATATATATATATTTTTTTTGTGTGTATTTAGGTGCTCCCAGAAGTCCTTGCGGTCTTATCATAGAGCACTGCGGGTGAGCATTTAACAGGAAGTTCACGCCTCCTTCCGTACCAATGTCGCTTG